GTATTGTTTCATAAGCAAAGGAGAGGTTGGAGATCCAGGTCTGAATTATGCTAGTAACTGAATTCTAAGGCTTGGAGTTTAGAGGGAGGGAAAAAAAAGGAAAAGGGCTGGCATGTACGTCTCCGCAGCTGTTGGCCTAAATAGGTGGAAGTTGCGCTAGGCTAGCTGAGAAGGGGAGGACTGTCATGCATGAGCCATGAGAGCTAACTCTTTCTGGGCTTGGTCTCTCCTCTTGCTGTGTGGGTAGAAATCCTCAGCAGCGTTTTCCCCTTGGATTGAGGAAGCTGAGCTGTGGGTCTGGGCATGGTTTTCTCCCCCCCTGCTTTGTGTTCCTCAGCCTTAGAGTGAGCAAGCCACGTCCCATCGACTTTGGGGCTTGGGCCTCTATTTTCCTTCCTGTAATGTGAGGTGCAGCCAACCCAGTTTTATTTCCTAGAGTTTGCTCTTTGGTGAACGGCTGCTTGGCTCCTGAAATATTGTTGAAGCCTCTACTTTATGGTTGATAACCTGAGGTGGGAGCTTGGCAGATGTGCATTCAGCTTCTGAGTTGGTTGCAGATACCTGCTTTGTGATCCTTGGATATCCTTCAGAGGATTTACCAGATCTACCTTGTACCTTCAGTGTATGGCTGTAATGTGAGAATAAGTAAAACTTTCAGAAATGAGGTTTCCTTGTTGATATGACAGCTTGTTGTAGGCATTTGTCTCCATGTGTACATAAAGTATGGAGAGGGTGATTTTTAAAAGTCTGCTCTAGCTATTAAGTATTGTTTGCTTCTGACTTTCATGTGGAGTCTGTTTTCACCATTAGCCCAGCTGCTCTACACGTTGGTGTCGGAAGATGAAATATAAGTCTGCCTGTATTTGCATTATTGAATACTCCCAGTGTAACAAAAACTCCGTAATGAAAGAAAATTGTTCAAATCTGTAAGGAGTTATCGGGAGCAAGCTCTTAGCAGTCCTTTCTCCTTGAGAAACCTCCAGTATACTTATTTTGATCCTTTGTTCTTTAATCTTCCGATATAGCTGAGGTCTACAGTATGTTGAATTCTCTCAGACGTTTTGCTGTTTGTTCAGACTCAGTGCAAACCCTTGAGCTGCTGTATCAATAATTCCCCGCTCTAAACATACTCTCTGTGAGCGGAAAGGGGAATGGATGTGGATTGGTTTTGCTCTCAGACAGATCATGAAAATGTCATTGTATGCCGGTCTGCTATAGCTATCTGAAGATTGAAATACCCTCGAGGGAATGAAATGATGACTTATTTCTTGCTAGTTTGCTTCCCCCCCCCGCCGCTTTCCTTGGCAAATACAGGCAAAAAAATATGACAAAAGAGTTGGATTCACTAAAACAGAGTCCCAAGTCAGAGCAGGCTTTCTTTTCCTGTATGTCAGCATCTCTGGGGGAAGAAGCATGGCGTGGGACCTTTGTACCGGAGTCTGCAGTGCCTGAGGTATCGTGCTGGCTCTGACAGTGTTTTTTCAAGTCCAAGAGCAAGCCATTCAAGTTTGCACCTTATTTTTCACTTCTGTGAAATGACCAGCAAGGTCAACCCAGTCCGATCAGTTAGTGGAAAAGACATGCCCAAACGCGCAGCCTGGAAGTAGGAAAGGCAGGTATCTCGAGTCCGAGACTGGGTCACAGGTACCGCATTAGGTCAGGGCACCCCAGGATCCTTCACGGGGACCCCAGCATCCCACCCCTGCAGTGGTCAGAGCTCTGTTGGAAACAGATGCAGCAACTTGTTTTTATTTGCTAAGCTGCTGAACTAATTGCAGAAATAACAGGCAAATCATAAGGTACCTAACAACATTCCCAAGCTTCCCTTTTTTCAAGAGTTTTTATTTTTTTGCAACTTTGTGACTTCTCTCTCCCCTTCTCTGACTTGGTGGGCTGGTTTCTTTCTTTGCTTGTTGCTCTGATATCATAAATCCCGGTAAGGGATTCTCAAATCCAGCCAGGGTTTTTGAACATTAAAATATACCCTCTGGCTTGGAAAGTCTGTGAGATACAGATGCTCAGAAGCTGCAGGAATACAGCAGGGAAGGATTGCTGCATGTTGCCCTGTTCAGATGCTCTTTCCTCAGCATCTGTTATTGGCAGCTGTCAGACACAGGCTGGATGTCTTCGTTTTTGTGCAACGCGGCTTCTGCTAGGCTGGTGGGGTGGGAGGGAGAAAAAAAAAAAAGACCCAAATGTGCTTGATCAGAAGGTGAGTGCGTTAGCATAGAGGTTTAGCTGACGTTCCCTGCTGCAGGAGGGATCTCTGTGTGGAGGTTAGAGCTGGGGCCTCGGGACGCTCGGATGCGATCTACTCTTGTGGTCTTTGGAGAAACAGTTTGCTCTCTCTGCACCTTTCTCCTCCATCTGCAAAAGGAGGCCAAGAATCATTGCTTCCTCCCATCCTTCGAGTGCTCTGTTTACCTTGGAGGCTTTTCAGGTTTGTCACCACCATCCACCTCTGTGAAGACCTCTGATGGTGCGGTAGCGAGAATAGCGATGTATTAACGATGACTAATAGGTGCAGCATGGGAACAGTGATTCTGCTGCTTTGCGGTGGAAGCATCAGACAGATGTTTAACATCTGGAACGGCACTCTGCATGGTTCAAATGGGGCTAGCAACTGCTGTTGTGCAGCTTCCTCGCAAAACACAGGCATCTTGAACATGGTTCCTGAATGCGAAATCACGCGTTGTTCTGAATGCTTCTCCTCTCCGTCGTGCCGAGGACCTGCTGTGGCCTCCGGCCTGCCTACATTCAAGCAAAATGGAAGTGGCTGTCAAGTGAAAACCACGGGTGGATTTTAGCACGTTGCTGATGTCAGGTCTAGTCAGGGAAAATGTTCCGCTTCAGTTACTTTAATATGCAGTAGGGCTGATACTGACGTAACTACGTGTAGCAAACATACTTAGGGCTTTATATAGGGTGGATATATCCTGCAGTCACAGACGGAAAAACTCACTTAGGCTGTCTCACCCACTTTCTCAGCTGTCAATGCAAATTTCCTCCTTAGTTACTATCTTTTCATGTGCTTTCCCAGTGCAATTTTAAGCTTTGGCTTTCTGTCCTTTGGGTTAATCCTTTTAATAGGCTTCTACTAAAAACACTTTTAGATCTTCAGCAGTCAAAGCTATTTCCAAATGGATTTAAGGCTTTGATTACCTCTTGTTTCCTGGTGAAGAAACTACGGAGACAAGGTAGAGGGAGCAGAGAAACAAGGTGCTCTCTCAGGCAGCACTGGTCTGTAGCTCCAGGTAAACATGCTTTCTCCATCAAGTGAAGAGCTGGAAACATTTCATAAACTGCACCAGGGGAAAAGTGAGTTGCAGGCTTTGGAAACCAGCCTGGGGAGGCCTTCAATGCACAGAGGCTCTGCTACTTTCCTGACAGCACGCAGTCAAAAGCTATGCAATATTTCAAGAGAATCTGCCAGATTCAGGAGAAACTCTTTGTATTGCAAATGGACTTCCCAGGCTACAGAGGAGGTGTACAAGTTTGCTCTTGCTTCGGACCCTTTGAGCACTTTAAAATGTCTCAGATGTAACAAACTTGGATATCGTTGTGGTTTTTTTTCTTCTTGAGGGCTACAAGAGCTTTCAAAACCTAAGCCCAAACTGTGAACCCTGTATGAGTAGCACTATGCTACTGGGTAAATCACAAGGTCCTGTTTTCCAGGGTCACTGGGATTGTCTCATGGATGCTCCAGCTGAGTTGCTGGAGGACTGAATTCCTGCAGCTGAAGGTAAAAGGAGGAATCAGTAATCTGGTTTGCTGTAAAACTGGGTGGTAAATATAGACAATAAAAAAAAAAAAGGGGGCAGGGGGGGAGAAAAGACAGGGGAAAAAAGCCTTAAGTGACTTGCCCAAGGTGATGCAGGCAGCAGGAGCAGAGCTGTGGATGAGGAGGAGATGCCTGCCCCTCTCCCTGCCCCAGCAGGCTTTCTCTGCAGTTGGTTGCCATTTGCCCAGGGTCTGTTAGTTGCATCAGTGTCGGTGAAGCATCTGGGGAATGGCTGCACCACGTGTCGTTTGCAGGACTCTGCATGTCGTCCTCTGATCTCCCTGACTTCAATACCTCTGCGTGCTGCCGATCGGTAAGCAGAGGCCCATGTCTCTTTAAAGCTCTCGGCATTTTTCTCTTCCAAGTGATTGAATTTGAGCGAGGGGAGGGGAGGATTCCTCAGTTCTGATGTAACTGTTAGCAGAACCACGTGGTTTTATACATTTTTGACAAGAAAAGCTCCCCTGGAAGCAAGTTATAAAATTTTCAGTAGCTCTTTTGTAATTGCTTGCCACAGCGGATATTTTCCAGTCAGCCTTTGCTTTTGGGCTTGAGTCCCCTTTGGGCAAGGTTTGTTTGTGCAGCGTCCTCACGTAGGCTCCAAATGTGAAATCCATTCAACCTTCGTGACTCATTTGCTGTCCCAAGTAACGCTTCGGCTGGAGGAGGAACCCGGCTTGGGGAAGCAGTGAAATGCCGGTGTCAGCACGTCGGGATCCCAGCTTTCAGGGTGCCTGCCCAGGCCAGGTGGGGAAGGAATGCCCAGTGGCTTGATGAGAGCCCCAACGTCCTTCCCTGCCAGGGCTCCCACTTCCCTGCACCCTGCCAGCATTAAGGTGGCCCTAGCAAAGCTGAGCTCGGTTCACTTCCATAGTAGCTGAGACTAAATTAAGTCACTGTGCTTCTGAAACAAGCACTTCAACGAATTTAAGTAACAAAGGAGATTTGTTACATAGCCATTTGTAAAATAATGCTTTTTAAAATTATCTTTTAATGAGAAAAAGCATCCTCTTTCGCAGGATGGAGCATGGATTTGCACAGGGTGGAAAGAAAGGTTTGTTTGCTTCCCTGTTGTGTCTTTTCCTAAACAGCTCTTCCTTTCTGCTTCCCTCTGTTCAGCTGTAACCCTCAACAGAGCTGGTTTTTGTTCCCCACCTCAAAGCTACACAACCAGTTTCCGTGCAAGCCAGCATCATTCGTGTTTCTTTTATGCTTTCAGAACATGAACATCCAGGTGGAGGACATAAGGATCCGGGCCATTCTTGCCACCTACCGCAAGCGGGTGCCTGTCACAGAGGGTTATGTGGAGGTGAAGGACGAAGGGACCTGGAAGCAGATCTGCGACAAGCACTGGACCATGAAAAATTCCCGAGTTGTCTGTGGCATGTTTGGATTTCCGAGCGAGAGGAAATACAACACCAACGTCTACAAGTAAGAGCAGAGCTTTGTAGGAGACACAAGCATGTTTCTTTGAACACTTGGGGCCTTGTTCAAAAATGCAAATTGTCAAATGACACTGGAGACCTTGAGGTAGAAAAACCTCCAACTGCTTCATTCCTTCAGATCAGATTTTCCTTCTGTGTAAATATTTGAAATGTCAAGCATTTCCTTGTGCAGACAGGGGAGTCGTTTGATCCTCACCGTTCTGGCTGAAGACCTAGTGCAGTATCAGTTGTAGTATTTGATACGTCCTATAATAGGAGATGTGGACAGTCAGCCCAAAAAATCTTTTTTTTTTTTTTTCTTCCAGCTATAGGATAGCCATTTCCTCCACCAGTGATAGGTTCTGTGTTGTGTGCAGGGGATGGATGGATGGATGTGAACAAACTGATCACACTCTCCCAGTAAACCCATCAGCTGCAAGAAAATCTAAGCACTTACCCCATCCCTCTGCAGAAAGCCAGCTGTAGGATCAGATCTGGTATGTGCTGAAAGCTTCAGCGGGGTGATCTTGGAATAAAATAGGCCTTTGTTGTGCTTCGTTGCCCAGGTTCCTCCTTCCCGCTACTGCATGTAATTCCCGGTCTCACACCTCTCAGGACGTGTTTACCAGCTGCTCTGGCTCTCAGGAGGCTCACTGACCGTGGTTCATGGGTGTCCAGCTGCCAAATCACCCACAAAGGAGCAGTCTGCCCAGGGGAATATTTCCCAGTAAATCTCCCGCTGTTGTTAACCCCAATTCAGCTCTCTGGCACTGGCAATTCCTCAGGGTCCCAGGCTGGAAGAGCTGCCAGCCATCTCCAACTGTATGACTTGCTCTGTCCTTTAAAGCCTGTTCTGAGCTGAGTTGAGTGCTGAGCTAAAAATCTCAGTAATGCTTCCATGCTACTCCTCCCAACGTTGCTTCTGCCTGTGCATCTGAGATGGTGCCTGTAGAAGGATGCAGTTTGGGGCAGTTGTGATTTCAGTGCTGCTTTTTCTTCCTATGATTGCAGATTGCTTTAAAATGAGGGAAGAAAATAGTGGTCCGCAGGGAGAATGTTGTGTATTCCAGAGCTGCAGGCTGATCGGTTCAGACTGTGTTACCTGTTTCTTGAAAGCCAGGAGCTCTGGTCTTTTTGGTTGTCATTGCTTCAGCTTGCATTTTGTCACCAGCCTTCATCACAGACTTGCTTCTTCCTACACTATTCCCTAGAAATAACACCCTAAGGCAGATGCAAAATAGTTGAAGTGAAATTCTGTCTCGTTTCTTTCCTACACCGTGACCTATGGAGTGGGAAAGTGTCAACTGGTTAGGGGGAGAACTGAATTCTCCAGGCAGGAGTTGTGGTTTTCCTGCCTGCTCCTTTTGGCCTCTGCAATTGCTATTTCTGAAAGCTCCCTCTGGAACTGGCTGGCCACGTTTCATTTCTTTCATTAGCAAGATCGTGATCAATTGAAGAGGTCCTTGGGTTGGAATAGTGTAAAGCCACATAGCAGCACAAAGAATATAAAATAAATAACTGAAGTGGAATTCTGTTTTCAGGCTTCCCAGAGAGGTGAGCAGTGAATTAATAATTGCTGCCAGGTGGTCTTGTGTTTTGCCCTGGACCAGTTAGAGGAGCGTTTGCTCCCATCAGTGCAGCATGCCTCCCTCAAACTCAGCTCTCAGATTCCCATCCCCTGCATCAGAGCAGGAGGGCAGAATAAATTATCTCTAGTAAGACAAAGTGGATTTTTCCTGCTTCTCAGGTGTGGTGTTTCCAAGAAAAGCATTAACTTTAGCAGCTGGGAGTCATCTGCCTTAAATAAAAGGGAGCTTGGTAATTGTCCTGTCTCTTGCAATAGTACACGTGGAGATGGAAAAACTGAGGCACAGCTGTTCAGCATAATATTCAGCATTGTTGAAAATCCCATTCACCGGAGCTGGAGTTATGAATATGCAGTGCTTGCAAATACCAGGCTTGGACATCTCTGCTACTGAGCCAGGCAGAGTGCTAAAGTAGCCTCAGTGCCCTAATACCTCTCTCACCTTTGCTCATTTTCAGCAAGCAGTAATGGTCTGCTGGGCTCCTGCACCCCAGAAAGATATTTTGGAAAATATACTGAATATTATCCCAGGTTGGAAGAAGATGGGATGTCATTTTATTGGAGGGAAGAGACCTGTAAAACCCTGTCAGCTAGATGGTTTTGTTTGGTTAGCGTAGTTTAAAAGGCTGTGTTCTTTCTTGGGGCATCTGCCTTTGTGCTCTGTGTTACTGGCGGATGCATCATGTACAACCATGACTGCTGGTAACCTTGCTGGTGAGGGAAACCTCCCAGTTCTGGGCTGGGAACTTCACAAGTGATCTTTGCTTCAGGGCAGTGGAATGATGACCACTGTAGTCTGCTCGCCTGGGCCATGAGAGCACTGCTCTCTGCTTTGTCCCACACGCTTTCTGGTTGCATTCTGTCTTGGAGAGGGAAGAGTTCATCTCTGGCTGGTCCCTTGAACTAAACCCTCTCTCCATGTGAGTGTGAAGCCTCAGAAACGTTCTTCTCATTTCTCGGGCTTTGCTCGCCCGAATTCGTAAATACCATTCTCCCAAGAGCAGATCCTTTCCCGCTCCTGCTCCGCAGCTGGGAGACGGGCTGGAATCGGGTTTCTGCTGGCCGGGGCTGCGAGTGCCCCCTTCCCACATCCCCGCCAGTCCCACTCCCCACAAACTACAGCTCTGCATGCTGAGCTAGCTGATACTGTGCTCTGCTGCTGCACAATGGTGGGAGGTGAAATGATTTGCAGATGGATCTTGCTTGAAAGAAAACAACTTAGTTCATTGTTGTCCCAGTGCCAGGGTTTTATTCCTGAATGTAACTTAGACTCTGCAGTTGACAGCACAATTTATGTTAGGAAACAAAACAAATCTCAATGTTGTTTCCATGTTCTTGTTCATTCTTCAAAGCGGTTTTTATATAGGCACCACTTGTTAACTCCTCCTCCCAACTCCTGCTCTGGTTGAGAAAGCAGGGTAGAATTAAATGCATTTTGCTGATGGGGAGAGTAGAAGTTTGTGACCGGAGATGCCTAAGGCAGAGAGATGGGCCTGATGCCGTCTCGAGGCCTTACAGCTTTGTGATTTGTCAAAGAATTGGATGCTCAGCAGTTGCAGGATGCTTTGTTCAGTGGCAGTCTGAACAGCGTCTCCCAGTTTAACCAGTCTGCTCATAGCATTATAAATCTGTTCAGATGCGTAGGGCAGTTAATCACGTCTATGCTTGTAGTAGAAATCATCATGGTTTGCGTTCTGCCCAGCAAAGCCAGGATCTTAAGGGCTTTGGCAGAAGGTGGCAGGTCTGGCTTCTCTTCTGCCTCCCTGAGGCTGAAGACAGGAAACTTGCTAACTTCAGTAAATGCTTGAAGAATTTCTCAAGGGTAGACACTTTATGCTCACACCCCTTAAGAGGATTTCACCAGCTTCTATTCAGTGTGTTATGGGTGAATTTTCCCAGCCTGTATGTGTGTAATGATTTGTTTTCAGCTCTCCCCAAGTCCTCTCAGACGCAGTCTTACATAGCAAGGTTGATTTAGCTAAACCCCGAGCCACTTCCCACAGCCCTTGGGCTTAACCTGTGTCTTTGTTTAAAGCTTATGTGGTGAAGGTGCATCTCTCCTGACCAGTCAAAATGGTTTGGGCTCCAGCTTGACCTAGAATTGGCTCAACTCTCACAGCATGACCGTTCACTCACACCTCTGATCTGAGTAGCATTGCTCTTGGCTTGTATCAAGGCCAATGAGAGGTGGGTTGCACTTTTTCTGTGTCAAAAAGTAAATAACAAGAATGCCCTGAGTTTCCATCTGTAAAGATCATTTGTATTCTCCTTCTTTTTTTTCCTATATATTTGGTCTGGGGAAATGAGGTGGGGCTTTCTCTGGCTATTTCTCCCCAGCCTACCCAGGGCTGTTAATACCAACCAGATGTTAATGCCTCATGAAATTTCCAGGATGAGGTCATTGTTTGCTATTATAAGACATCCCCGTAATTACTTCTCTAAGACAGGCTGTGTTTCTTGTCTGCTTTGGAGCTCGTGGAGCTCTCTGCACATGTCTGTGGAGGGCCCTCGGTGAAGATACTCCTTCGGGTTCTTGCTTCCATTCTGAGCACGCAGACTTGCTGGGGCAGAGCTGGCTCGTGCTCTGAGCGCAGGGGGTCACGTCACCGAACGCAGGCACCTCCAGATGCTTTCCAGTGCCCGAGTCTGCCCCGTCGCTCTGCAGTCCGAGGGGGCAGCTGATGTTCGGGTGGGACCTCGGTGCTCAACTCCAGCAGTCCAAGGGCAGAGGCTTTTGTGGTTTTTTGGTAGACATGTAGTGTCCTGGGTAGTTTAATTAAACGGAAGAAAAATCTTCAAGATTTGGTCCAAATTGAACCAGATATTCTAGCTGAGAAGTGGCTGGCGCTTTCTTCCTGCATCCTCCCTGTCTTTTTTTATTTATTTTTTATTTTTAAAATTTTTATCCCCCTTTCCTATTTCCCATTCATTTTCTGTTGATTCAGGGTCCCTGACAGCTCTGGTTTGACAGACTTGGAGTTTGACAGCCAGTGTTTTACCCACAAAACAGGCAGGTTGCCTGTTGCTGCTGCACGGATAGATCTGAGCCCCGTCCCATGCTCCGTCCTTTCCAGCACAGTGTTTGCTCCCCACCATGTGATGCAATTGCATCTCTATCCCCAGCCCGGCCATATTTGGCCCTAACCTCAACCCAGAGAAATTTGGTTCCAGAAATGATTAGTCAGTGGCCGTGAGCCATATGAGCCTAGGCAACTGCTGAGCTTGTTCAGCAAAGCTTAGCAAGCAGAAGAGGAGAAGATTAGTTCTCTCAAGCATCTGAAATGGTGCAAATTAGCCCACACGGGACCACCGAAGGGCACCAGTTGGGAAAACCTTGACCTGTCCAGTTTAGTTTCAAACCAACAACCTACGAAAGGCTCTTCATCCCTTTACCAGATCCTGTTCAGGCTCTCCGTCCTGCAGGGATGTGCTACAGTTAATCAGAATTGGTGCTTTTTCTCCCCAGCAAGTTCCACCCACCTTGCTATGCCATTTATCGCAGCGAATCCTTGGATCGCCGGGACTGCGTGGCAGCTAGTCCTGGAATAAGGAGCAGCACAGGGATCTCGCAAAGCCACGTCAGAATCACAGCAGGGCATTGGCTCCTCTGCACCTTGACTTTTTTTTTTTAAACTTCTAACATCTCCCTTTTGGTAATCATCTGACCCATATTTCTGTTTCATTGACTATTTTAGCTCCGATGCAGTCCGACAGCCTTGCAATGCAGTCAGGATGAAGCTGGATAACTTTCTTTTCTCGTTTATCACACATGCCCCTTCCCCCTTAGGAGTCCCTGGAGCAGCTCCAGGCAAGTGCTACAGTTTGGGAGCAAGAAGCAGAAACTGCTGCCAATCTCCTCTGCTGTGAACATGTCATCAAGGGAATTGCTCTTGCGCTCGGAAATTGCTTTCAGGCTCACAGTTGTTAACACTGCAGCTTTGAGAGAAGCCGGAGAGCCGTGGCTTTTTCCCAGTCTGCCATCTTCTCACAGCTGATAAGTGGTGGCCAGCAAAGAGAAGAGCTCATTTATGGGAGAGGTCTTCTGGGGGCCTCTCCAGTCCAAACTCACCGGCGTTACTTGCACAGGCCCTGTTTGTATGCTGCCTTTTGAATTAACTGCTCTCTGACCCCTACATAATGTAGGGATCTCTGTTCCGTGTCCCTCCTTTGAGTGCATAATTGTTGCTCTAGCTGCACTGTTGATTCATACTCTGATCTTTAGCTTAAGGAGATGACCTATTTATTCCCAAGTGACACCTTAACAGAGAGTCCTTGTGTGTATGAATGGATCAACTTCCAAATAATGCTGTTCAATCCTCATTTTGTTTCAAGGTGTTTTTTCCCAAATGTAGCTACATCAGTGCAGTTTTTATGGATTCCTAACTTTTATTTTCCTGTTCCCTTTTATTCCTTTAAGGATGTTTGCCAGCAGAAGGAAGCAGCATTACTGGGCTTACTCCATGGACTGCAGTGGGAACGAGGCTCACATCTCCAGCTGCAAACTGGGCAATCACCTCAACGTGGATGCGGAGAAGAACGCGACCTGTGAGAACGGGCTGCCTGCAGTAGTCAGCTGCGTCCCCGGACGCGCCTTTGCCCCCAGCAGCCACAGTGGCTTCCGAAAAGCCTTCAGGCAGGAGGTGAGCAGGGCGTGAATGCAACCTGTCAAGTAGGAAAAGCCTGGGGGTGTAACTGTTTGCCAGCAGTTAGCAGCCGTAGGGCCTGAACATGGGGATGCCCACAGCCACAAACCAGCCTGTTGTGCAAATGTCCCCTCTTTGTATTCCTTTCTCACTACAAGCCCAGCTGAGTTTCTGTCCTCCCAAACACATGCTACCTTGCCTCCGTCTACAGGCTCGGAAGGGTGGGAGACTGGCTCGCCGCTGTGGCTGGCAAGGCTGTGAGCAAGTAGTAAGAAAATACATTTGTCACGTTTCTGTTTGAGCTGTCCTGTTGAAGCCAATTGAATGCATGCCCAGTTGCTGCCGGGCTTTGCTGTTTCACAGCAACTTAAATACCGCGGGGTTGTTTCTCCTGTAGAGGTACAAGGGAAGTAAGCTGGCGTTTCCACCACCCCTCTATCTTCTGCAAAGAAATGCCCTGAGAGACTGGGAAAACACGGCCTACAGGAAAGGTTGAAAAAGCTGTGTTTGTTTAGTCTAGCAAGGAGAGGGCTGAGTATAGCGTAAAAATTCTAAGATATGCAAAAGGCTGTTATAAAACGACCCTGGAGTCAGTTGTTCTCAGTGTCAGCGGGGTGACTGAATGTGAAAGAATAGCTTAACTTGCAGCAAATGTGCTTTAGGTTGAAGCTAACGGAAATGTTCCCGCTGTAAGGTATGTGCAGCCTTAGGATACGGTGGTGATCTCAGGGTCTGGGGGCCCTTAATGCTGGGTTAGAGGGGGTTTTTGCGGGGTGCATTTGGTACTTTGGGTCTAGCCTGTAGCCCTTGGCTGTAGCCTGCGTCCCCCAGCACTATACCTCCGTGACTTTAGGAGTGGGCTTTCTCTTGGCACCTGAGAAGACCCCAGAGCGCACCTCCAGACACTGCTGTAGTGGGAATAGTGCAGTCCTGTCTGTGGTTTGCTTGCCCGGAGCCCAGGCACCTCTCTGCACAAGAGCTTGCAGAATCTAGGCCTCAAAGGTGAAAGGTCTTGTAAATCATTACTGATCTTCTGAGCCACGCGTGCTGCCAAGTAATTCCTTAAGCCTCTGTGTAGGCTTTGGATGTCCTTCGTGTGACCCCGGCCTGGAGAACTGTATATGCTTCCAGTTTTAAAAGTTAAAGTTTTTTTGGTCTCGGACTCTACACAAATCATGTGGTATTCCTGTACCTAAGACTCAGCTCCCACCGCAACAACACATCTTGGGTGCAGCAGCTGGTGGGTGGCTCTGCTTGGTCCTGGGGAAAGATGTAAGCGATGTATGCTCAGTGACTAATAGAAATGTCAGAAGAATGGAAATTAATGGAACTGGACCTGCCACTCAGCTGCGTATTTCTGACTGCGATCTCCCAGATCACTTATTTCACTAGTCGTAACTGCAGTGGGCAGATAGGTTTTACGTGGCTTGAGTTCCACGCTGGTCTCCTGGGTTAACCCAGGACCCCTGTCTGGAGATCTGTACAGCAAGTGAACCCATCTAGCGGCTGAACCACGGGCAGCAAGTGGATGAGAGCAGTGTGCTGGCTGGCTCCGTGTGATTCCCAAGCCTCCTCTAAGGCTCCCAAGGGGTGTGGTATGACAGCTGGGCTGTTGCGTGTCCAGCCACTCCTGTGTACAGCAGCTCTCTTCTGCTGCAGAACTGCTTGTGTGAAAAAGGCTCCTAAATCCAAGCACTAAAATTGCAGAGAGCTAAGATGTCTCTCTTTATTCTCTGCCCACATAGAGGGACGTGAGAAACATATGTCTATGCATACCGTAAGTCTTAGCAGATAAAGATTTCCTTTCATCCGGCACATTTAGCCTTTTGTGTTATGTGGTGGTTGTTTTAAGGTGCCTAAGGGTAATACTTTTTGGGCCACAACTTGCCTGCAGCCACACACTGTAAATAAGAGCTGTAAAGAAAGGATGCTTCGTTCCTAGGCAGTGGTAACGCTGCTTCTGTCTGTGTCTTCCAGCAACCACTGGTGAGGCTGAAAGGGGGAGCCAACACTGGCGAAGGACGAGTTGAAGTGCTGAAAAACGGGGAGTGGGGAACGGTTTGCGACGATAACTGGAACCTGGTGTCAGCCAGCGTGGTGTGCCGAGAGCTGGGCTTCGGGAGCGCCAAGGAAGCAATAACGGGCGCAAGGCTCGGGCAAGGTAAGAGCAGTGAGAGCTCCCAGGACCGTTCATGCCTTGTCCACCTCCGAGAACCTTTTCATGATTCAGGGCAGAGCGTATTTTTACTGGGATGTTTGTTTTGGGGACCAAGAACTTATTCTCTACCCTTAACAAATCTCTTGAGTCCAGGAGCTTGAGGCCAGACTGGAATATGTGACTTAGAAGAATCTTGAGATTCCTTGAAAGAAGTCTAGTGATGATGAGTTTAACCTTTCCCTCAGACAGTTGCTCCAGTAATTACTTCTTCATTATCACATCCATTGCTCTGAAATTCTCTTTGAGTTCTCTAGATCCACAGCATGGTGTAATGCATTACTAGAAGGTTCCTGGCAAAAATGGGTCCTGGATCTAGACTTCAAACACTCTCCAATTTAAGATCAGAACATTAATTTAGCCCATTATAAATAGAAGGGCATTTGAACAATTCAGAGCCAGGTTTGGGTTTGGATTTCCTGTATTTGGGAGTTGGTTCAAATCCCAAACTGTGGTAAATGGTAACTCAAAGCCTAATGTACGCCCTCTCAAACCACGTTCTGATTCACCCGCCTTGCTCCCGTAGTGTAAACCCTAAAGAAAATGACACCAAACCAAACCCTTTATTGTGAGACTAAATGAATGGGTGAAATTTCTTCAGCCCAGCATGGCTTGGAGAAGGGGAGGGAAAGTAACAACACGTGTAAAGCACAGTGGTGGTGTCCAGAATCCAGAAAGCTTTAAAATGTGACCTGTCCGTTGAATTTGCCAAAAAAATCTTACGGTGGGGTGCAGGGAGCTGCTTGATGTGTTTAGCTGCATCTAGGAAACGGCATAATCGTCGTTGTAGGGGGGAGCAGCTGCCACGTGAAGGAGGAGAACGCACCATTCCCTGCCATCTCTCGCAGCTGCGGTCTGGAAACTCTTAGCCATAGCTGCCGATTCCCCCACGCTTTCCTTTCTTTTAAACACTGGCAATCAATCAGTGCACCCTGTCAGAAGTGTCCTCTGGGATGACAAGCGCTTGGTAACTCCATTCAGCGGGCGGATCATCACATTGTGGTAGGAAAAGGAGCTCTTTTGGCCCAAACTCGTCTCCAGGCTCCCATTGCACAGGGGAGTCTCACAGCTGTTAAACTCTGTGGCCATGTGCATGTTTACGCTTTGCTTTTTTACAGCTGCATCTCGGTGGATTTATGTGTTCAAAGACTAATTTGAAGGTCCAGTCTCATCGTTGCTGTGTTGGAGATTTAATTTCACAGGGTGAAACGCATAAAGACAGGCTGCATGTTAAATCAGTGTGCAGTGTCTAGAAGTCCCAGTTAAGACAGTGCCCTGTGGGAGAACAGTGCCTACCACAAAGAGTTCAGGGTATGGAAAAGAGGATTTATTTTCCATTTTATAGATGGGCAACTGACACCCAGATTAAACAATTTACCCTTATTCACACAAGAGTTGTCTGAAAGGAAGATATTGAGCCCAGATCTCCCAAATGTGTTGTCCGCTGCATGGTCCTGGGAGGGAGAACATAGAATAAAACCTCAAGCAGTAGGTGAATGTATACATTGGATATACAGTCCTAATCCTGTTCTTATGCTAAAGCAAATGGCACAGAAGGAAATATAATTTTTATCACCATATTTTGGCACATACAGCAATGCAGTTTGGCTACATTTCAGTTCCTGGGACAGCAGCACTGCCTCCACATATCGTAAAAGAATTTCCCCAAGAAGAGCAAATATGCCAGGGTTATGTGGATCAGCGCCATGGCCCTGCCCTGTTGCTTTGTCACTTCGTTGGTACGACTCTGTCAGACTATTTCAGTGGAGAATGTCAGACTGGATCCATCCTGCATTCTTGGTGCATCACCCTCCAATTCTGGTCAGCATCAAGGCGTTCCTCCTACTCGAACTGTTCGGTGGCTTGCAAAGCGATTAGGTCAGTGTCACCATTTCCAGATGTAGACCACAAACAGGGTTTTAATAACAGAGAAGCAAAAAAGGCTAGCTGCACGTTCCCCAGTGGCCTCAGCCTAGGAGTCTGCCCCAGCATTGTGTAGATCTTGTGTGGTGGGTGGATACAGGGCTGGCTGAAGTGCTAAGGTGCAAAAGGTGGCCAGAGCCAATTTAATTTTGTGGATGAGATTGAACCCAATGCATTTACATCTCTGCCTTTGTTGTTCTTGCTGCTGTTGTCAGAAGGTGGCTCCAGGGTACATCCTGACCCATTCCACCACACAATTGTGGAAATATGGTAGAGAGGTTTGGTTTGTTTTTTTTTTTCTTTTTTCTGTTTTCTCTGTGCTTCAGCAGAAGTCTGAGGAGGTGAGGGGTTCACCAGACAGGTCATTAAAGTGTCACCCACGGTTAGGTCTCCCAAGTCACAGGTATGCTGGCTGCCACAGAGCGTTAGGCTCCAGATGGCAGTAGGAAGAGGCTTTTAAGCACAAGCATCCCCCCTACCGTTAATAAACCAATTACATTTTCCTGCCTTCTAGAGTCAGCCCTTTTCTTTGAACTAAAAGGAGCAGGCTTGAAGTTGGGTACAATTTTCCTCTCCAGAGAAGTGAGCAAAAGGGGGTTCGTGGTGAGGCAGCGCGTGCCTGGGAGGCTGTTGGTCAGAGCACAGTTGGCAGTTCTGCTGCTCTCTTTGGGGAATTTGTGTCATCTTGGGGTGCAGACAAAGAAACGGAGCCAGCAGCCAGGATGTCATTTCCATGGTCTGTTCCCTGCTGATTTGAACGCTCCGAGACAGGTACAGCTCTCTGGCTCTGCGGAGCCCTCGTCACTTGTGCTATCGTGAGAATAGTGTTGCAGGAATGAAGAATCAACAGTCACTGTCAGAAATGGTAAGAAAACAGTTGCTTTTCTACCTCCATTACCCAGGTGGGTCAGCCTGGCCTCCGGCAGCCTACAGCTGTGTGCTGTGCAGACTGACAAGGGGAACTCCAAACTGAATGCCAGTTCCTATATCTGGTGTCGGTCAACCACTTCTGGCTGGTGGAAGGAGCTGGTGAAGGGTATCAGTCGGTGGATGCTGCTTTCTTGGAAACCTCTTCTTGTGGCTTTTGCCTTTCATCGCCACCATCATCGTGCTGCTGACCAGAAACGGGCGCACCTGCGGCTCGGACAGAAGTGCCTGGCCAAGGGCTGCAGTGAAGCAAGCCACAGCAGGTCAGAGCACGGCATAGAATCATAGAATGCTTTGAGTTGGAAGGGACCGTGAGAGATCATTGAGCACATCCCCCCTGCAGTAAGCAGGGATTGAACCTGTGAACTTGGGCGTTATTAGCACCACGCTCTAACCAACTGAGCTAACCCGGCTGGTCGTCTGCCAGCATTTTCATTTTGTTGAGTCTGGAGACAGCACGTTGACAGCAAACTTCAAAAGTGTTTTTATTCTCAGCCTCCTATCTCTGAAAGCTTCCTAGAAACTGCTGGAGACCAGAGGTTCTGCATCTGCTACTTGCAGGGATCTCCTGTCAAAACTATCTGGTGTGTTTCCAACGGCAATTACTTATGGATTATATGGGCTCCAAGAAAGACTCTGGTTGTTCTTCTCTGATGAAGATCATCTGCTGGAACTTCTGATTCACCCCCCACACGCCCCAAACTTCTTTCTAAACAGTTTTGGGTTCAGTTTCGAAACAGGACCCGAGTGCTTTACAGGCAGGGTTATTGCCTTCTCATGTGTGTGTCTCTCCTCTTGCTGTGTCTCTTTGGAAATGACAATTGTCTGCTGCCACTCGTCCAGAGAGGAACCAAATTATTCATCTTGGCTCCCCAACAGCTTGAGACCGTTCTCTGCAGTACGAACTGATGTTTGCTCTCTTGTTTCCATCAGTGTTGTTGGAGTCTGTAACACACACCTGCCCCAGAGTTGTTTCGCTGACTTCTCGCACGTCCCTGTGGTGTTATGTTTTGTTGTCCCAGCAAACGTGTCTATGTCCCTATGTCAGAGCTTGATTGGGAGCAGACTCCAGCATACAGACCCAGCCAGAAGGTCATACTTTGCAAATTCCTCTAGCTGAAGTTTGTAAATTATGTAACAACGGAAACTTGTGTTTTTCTGTGGTTCTTGTGTGCTTGAGTCCCAGAGACTACTGGAAAGAATTTAACGTTAAAATCATTATAAATAATCTTGCAGCTTTTTGTTTTATTTTTACAAGAAATCACTGGAATTTTTTCAGGATTACCGTGTTTTGAATGCTAGAGGCTAGTGTGATGTCTGCAGTGTATTAATAAACTATTATTGGATATTTCTTCGCCACACAGTAGCATGGACAGAAGGTAAGGACTCTTCTTCTTTTTTTTCTTCTTTTCTTCCCCAAGGCATGGGTCCAATTCATCTAAATGAAATTGACTGTACGGGCTTTGAAAAATCAGTCACGGACTGCAAGTTCAACACGGAGTCGCAGGGCTGTAACCATGAAGAAGATGCTGCTGTGAGATGCAACGTTCCAGCGATGGGTTTCCAGAATCAGGTGAGAAGCCAAGCGATCCAGATGCGAGCGAGCGTGGCGAGGCGATTTCATCCTGGAGCATCGTCTGCCCTCCCTTGTTACGCAGTGCAGGGTATCTGGGCAGGAATCATTTCCACCTAAGCCGTGCCTATTCAATTTAGATTTTAATATCTGCATTGTATTAGACAGGAGGGCAAATAAGGATGATGCTCCCTTTTTGTACTGAGCTTTGAGCTCCTCCCATCATGATGGGGCTTACAAATGAATGAGGTGCCACTTCAGCTGCAGCCTTTGCAGTCCAGTGGCCCTGTAAAGCTGGTGCATGTCCCTGCTGTGATGGGATCTTGGTTGGGTCTCGTGACGGCGGTACCCAGGTGGCTGCTGGCATAGGGGCTGCTGGCATCTTTGCCATGTGGAGCTTAAAAACGAACTATATGAAGCAGATGCAGGTGTCTCTGAGTAAATGCTCCTGCCGAAGGTCCAAAGGGAGCGGAGAGGGGAGGCGTGTTACGCTCTCGCAGCTGGTACAGACCGCTTTCAGATGCTGGGCTTGGCTAGGCTGCTTCCTGTCCACGGTGGGAGACAAAAAACCAAACTGCAGCAACTGGTCTGCTAGCAGCTGGACTGAGGTTTCTGGCCTCGGTGACTTTTAACCACAAGCCTTGAGGAAGACCCTGAGCATCGCTTGCCCAACTGTTGCGTCTTCCCTATAGAGTTTGCTATGACGTTTATTGACATAGGAGTCTTTACGCCCTGCAGCTGCGTCTGAGCGGCGGCCGCAACCCTTACGAGGGCCGGGTGGAGGTCTTGGCGGAGCGCAACGGCACTCTGAAGTGGGGCACCGTCTGCAGCGAGAACTGGAGCACCGTAGAGGCCATGGTGGTGTGTCGGCAGGCGGGGCGTCCCCCAGCCATGCCTTCCAGGTGAGTCCCTGTGCCCTCCCGTACGTGTATTTCAGATGTGGTGGCATGTGTGTGGTTGGGTAGGGGCTACTGGAGGAGGAAGCTTATTTTTAAAAAAAAAAAAAAAACCCAGCCCAAGCCACAAACCACAGCATTCAGCTTCAAGGCATTAGCTGGAGAGACCCTGAAGGTTAAACCTCATTGCACAACAGCCATTGGGGGAAATTCAAAGCAGAAAGAGGTCTTGCAGCTCTGGGCAAAGCTGCTGTTTTCATACTGCTCAGGGCTCAGGTTTCCTGGGAAGCCTGACTCCCTTAGGCCTGGTTGGGCTGGTGGTTATGTGCAGTTTCTTGTCCCTCCCTGAGTCAGTGGGGAGTTGAACTCCTCGGGCTGACTGAAGTGTGGAAGCCAAGTTTAACCTGGTGTCAAATCACTTGAAAACGATTTGATTTCGCTCCTGTAGTTACTTCTCAGTGCAGTGTGTATGCTAGTGTGTAGTGGAGCTGCATGCATTTCTTGCTCCTCTAATGGCAAATGCCCTAAACCTTCCCTGCTTGCAAATGACTAAGAATGGCACTTAATAAAGGGATAAAAGCTACCAACTAACAAGCTTGGGATAACCACAAAGGAATAAAGTGTTCTTTCCCAGCAAAGCTCTTTGGCGTGGTGAACAGCAGCCCGCTGTGCTGGCTGGAGGAAAGCAAGCAGCAACCGTAAGAGCTGGAAGGAGGGAGGGCGACAGCTTCCCACCCAGTTCCCAGATGGATAACTGGCATCAGGTGTAAGTAGCTGGTGTAGGCCAATAACCCTGGTGCAAGATATTTTTCTGTACTGATACATCCCTCAAGGATCACAAGGTGAAAGAGGGGCAGGCAGACCTATGTAATGGTAGATTTTGAAAGGAAATATATAACCTCTGGGCCTTTGCTGCAGCTCCCAGACACAGGGAAAATGGGGATTTGGGTTCCTAAAATAAACTGGTTTCTCCCTAGGACAAAGTAATCCCCTGCCAGAGCTTGCTGTCTTGCTGTGCTCTGGAAATGCAGCCCCTTTGAGGCATTTCAACTGAGAATCAACAGTTGCCAGCCGCTTTGGGGAAACTTAGGCTCAGATGGCCACTGAATAAATAAACTTCATGCGTGTTTATATAGATGGAAACCCGCACACAGAAAATGGCCTTAGATCAGTTCTGGAAGGAAACTATTTTCCCCAAACAATTTCTGGAAATCGAAAACTTGGGCAAACAAGGAAAATGTGGTTGCAGAGAGCGGAGGCTGTTCCCATTGTCCAAGCCCGGGGTCTGGTCGGCTCTGCTGTATTTTCGTGCCATGTCTGGCCTGCTCAGCATTCGGATGCAGCCAGCTCTGCTGGGCTGCAGCAATAAACACAGTAAGAATTAGCATCTCTGCTGACTGCCTGCTGGTTTTGTGCAGGGAGGAACGATAAGGCCCTGAAATGACCAACAGCCTCAGCATCCTCGGGGCTGGTGGTTGCCTCTTGAGAAAGCAGGAGAGACTGTAGGCAGAAATGGACAGTTAAAACTCCACCTGGAGAGCTCAGTCCTGCAACGAGGTTGTCTTTAAGGAGTGACCAAGCCCGGATCCAGGAGGACATGCTGGGCTCGTGGGCAGGCAGATTCCAACCAGTTTAACTGTTATCCGTGGCCAGAGAGGGGATCTGCAGGTCCCCAAGGGACACGCTGGGGTGGGATACCTAGGAGGTAGAAGGCTGGAGCTGCCCGTGCCGCTGTTGTAGCAATCCCCCGGTGCAAGCATTGAGGTGCTGGAGCGTGTTCAGAGGCGGGCAACGAAGCTGGTGAAGGGTCTGGAGAACAAGTCTTATGAGGAGCGGCTGAGGGAACTGGGGTTGTTTAGCCTGGAAAAGAGGAGGCTGAGGGGAGACCTTATCGCTCTCTACAACTACCTGAAAGGAGGTTGTAGTGAGGTGGGTGTTGGTCTCTTCTCCCAAGTAGCTAGCGATAGGACAAGAGGAAATGGGCTTAAGCTGCGCCAGGGGAGGTTTAGACTGGAAATTAGGAAAAATTTCTTTACGGAAAGGGTGGTCAGGCATTGGAACAGGCTGCCCAGAGAGGTGGTGGAGTCACCATCCCTGGAGGCGTTTAAAAAACGGGTAGATGTGGCACTTCGGGATATGGTTTAGTCTGGTCTACCCTTGATTAGTCTAGAGTGGGCTTGGTAGTGTAGGTTAATGGTTGGACTGGATGATCTTAAAGGTCTTTTCCAACCTAGATGATTCTATGATTCTATGATTCTAAGCTGGTTCCTCCACCTGATTTGCCTGCGTAGCTGCCAAGCAGAGCGCAAGAGCTGAGGATAGCCACGTACCTTAAACGTTGGCCTTTCCAACTGCCTGGCTCTATTGACATAGCCCTGAGAGTCCAGCAAGAAACAAGACATTTTTTCCTTTAGCTGAGACTGCTGGTATTTAGAACAGAAAAGGCCCTTATGCATATCCCAGCTGCACCAGCTACACGAGCATAAAGCTACACTGTGTAGAACAGGGCAGCCCTGTGTGCATGTGTGCAAAGAGTGTTGCTAACAGGGTTAACAAACAGCCTCTTGCAATGGAAGCAATGGTACAGATGGGTTGTCTTTTCCTGGAAACGTGCTCCTAGTTTTGACGCTAATAGATGTGGGGTTTGGTTTTTTTTTTCCTTCTTCTTTCTTCCCTCCCCTTCTCCCAAGCTTTGCAGTTGCAGCTTCATTGGGTTTAGTGCTCTTAGTTTTGTGAGTGTGCTACGTTGGGAGTTAATTTTCTGTCATCCCCACAAGTTTTGCAAAACTGGGTGATGAAGATGAGTAGTGAGCAGGGTTTGAACATCTGGGAATCCCCCCTCAGAACCAAGAGATGCAGACCCTGGGTTAGCAGACCCCGTTAGTCCTGGTAGCCCTCAAATGCCTTGTTTCCACTGGCATTTCCAGCACGGCTGTTAATTCTGCCTCCCCAGCTTGTGCAAGCAGGCCCTCTGGCATTGCAAGGCCCTGTGGCGCTCGCAAGTGCAGTTATCACAAGACAGATGTGGTTTAATTGCTGGGCATCTCTCCCAAAGGCCCAGCCTAGATGACTTAAAACAGCCTAAGGATGAATTCATCAGATGGATGGGCAGAGCAGGGTGGAAAAGTGAGTTTACAGCTGGATTAAAAACAAAGAGAAATTTAAACCAGCTCAGAAACAAGGAGAGAGATTTGCTTAACGCGGGTCAGATGTTCAGGGCAGGGAAGATGGTCAACTTGGGTTTTAATTCTAGTCCCAGCCTTCTGCTTAAACAGACTTGGGCTCATTCCCCGAGTTACTCTGCTCCAGCATCCTTTGGCAACGTCTGTCTCCTTGATAGCCTTGGCTCTTGCGTTGATCTTCCCTGGAGGGAGAATGCAAGTTACAGGGGGATGAATATTCCTCCAGCAGTCCTCTAAACACTGAGGAGTGTGTGAAATGCCTTTTTCTGCCCTTCTGCCCAGGAAACCTGGTACTGGCACGGAGACATCAGCGCTGACAATGTAGTCATGAGCGGCGTCAAGTGTTCGGGGACAGAGATGTCCCTGGCCCACTGTCGTCACGATGGAGCCGATGTCTCCTGTCCCAAGGGAGGTGGTCGTTTTGGTGCTGGTGTGTCCTGCTCAGAGAGTGAGTAACTCGGGTTTTATTTCATTTTGGCATAAGTGTTTGCCCTGAGGTATGCAGGGGAAACGGGCTGGCCCATGCTATGCCTTGGATATGTCAAAACAGTGGCAAATTGCTGCTGATGGGGCTGAGAAATACAGTGCAAGGAAGGGGCTGGCCTCCACCTCTGGCAGACGCTTGTGGGGTTTTTTTAGTAGCCCGTCAGTTGATTTCAAACCTTCCTTCCTACCTGCCAGCTGCCCCTGACCTGGTGCTCAACGCCGAGCTGGTGGAGCAGACAGCCTACCTGGAGGACCGCCCGATGTTCATGCTGCAGTGCGCGCTGGAGGAGAACTGCCTGGCCAGCTCGGCCACCAACACCTCCATCACTTCTGGGTACCGGCGCCTGCTGCGCTTCTCCTCCCAGATCCACAACAACGGGCAGTCCGACTTCCGCCCCAAGAACGGCCGCCACGCCTGGGTCTGGCACGACTGTCACCGGTGAGTGCCAGAAAAACGCTTTTGCAGGGTCGGTGCCTCCTTCCATGCCTTTCCGCTGCCCGGGGCGGACTGTTTTGCCGTGGGAGTACAGGGCTGAAACGCTGGAGCTGTGGCTGTAGAGCTGTGACGTGTGTTAGGGCAGCTGGCATCCTCCGACAGGAGAGAAACCAGCTGGTTACAGTAGGAATTATAGTTAGGAACTGGTATGTGAACAAGGCAGATGTGGAGCTCTTATTGGGAGAGATGTATATGCAAGGGCAGTATGCATATGGGAGTATGTGGACGTACAGACAGAAGGAAGCGTGTGCCTGCGTACCCGCTGTGTGTAGAAAGATGCGGCCATCTGAGCCACTTCCCTCACCCAGGAAAGGACTCAAGAACATGCTGTAATTCTGCATTTTTTTTAAATGCATCTCCACTCTACTTGAACTATGTACAGCTGGGAGCTTGTTTTGTGCTTATTTTTGACAAACAGTAAATTCAACCCCATAAATGCGTTGTTTTTCAGGGGGAAGCTGACAGTTTCAGGCAAAGTAAACCACAGAGAGGAAAGAGAACTGGAACCAAGCCACCCAGATGCTTTGCTTCTGAAATGATGGCTTGTTACAAGGTTGATTTTCTCTAATTTGGTGTAAAAGGGAGCTAAGTAACTCACAGTGCCCAGCTCTTGTCTTGCCCCTGTTGTAAGGCTTTCACTTTGTGAAAACTTTAGAGCAGTGAACTCTCAAATCTAACAGTCCTTTATATTCATCACAAACGGCGTGAGCAAGGCGAGACGTGTAGGTAGCACAGCGTCAGTGTCGCAGCGCTGCAGTGCTACTGCTCCGACGCTTCACATCGTGGTGTGGGGCAAACGCTGGCCACTTACCCTGCAGACAGGTTGGTTTGTAATGTTTGCAGTCGGAGGCGCGAGCGGAGCTAAAACCTCAGCGGACAGAGCCAAAGGTAAATAGGCAGTGGTATGTTTAGGGGAGGAGGAAACCCGGACCGGTGCAGCGTGAGCACTTTCTGGCCCCGTTGCGAAGGGGTTGGGGGAACACGTGGGTACCGCAAGGCTTTGAGCACGTCGCAGGCTGGTTAAAAAGGAGGACACTTGGAGTGCTTCGGGAGAGACTGTGCGAGTGAGGCAAGACTGGGAAAGGATCAGGAAGAGGCCGAGAGCCATCTGTGTGCTTTAAACTGGATTCTGTTTATATGGAGGAGGATGAACTCGGTTCTTCTTCAATCTTTCCAGTCTGTAAACACCTCTTTGAATGATTCAGACATATTTCAGAAACTGAGTCAGACTCGAGAACCTCAAACTTTTATCAGAGGCAGCCAAATTAGACAGCCTCAAAGCCAACAGCTCAGCCTCTGCAGAATGCCTCTTCTTTCCTAGCTGCCTCACTCCATCACTGGGAGCTTCTGTTTAGTTGGCTTTTGATGTGGAAGTAGAACAAAAATGGGAAAGACCTATAGCAGGGAGTGAAAAGTGATTAACTTCTGGCAGGTGGCAATTTTTTTTTTTTTTTTTTTTGGTTAGGGGAAGGGCAGGATGAGGCAAGAAGAAACCCATACTCTAGAGGAAAAATTTCCTCCCCTTCCCTCCTTTCTCCTCCTTTATCTGTAAATATGTGTGCAGAGTGATGCTGCGATAATGGTGGCTGGAAGTTTTTAAGCCATGATTATTTTTACAGCTGGAAAGGAGAAGATTTCTGGGTTTGTTGGGGTTTTTTTGGCTTTTTTGGGGTTTTTGTTTTTTAAAACTCCTAAGCAATGGCTTTTGAATTAGGGCCTGTCTGTGCAGTTACCTCATTCCTCAGAGCTGAGCTATGCAGCCGGGCTCTGGCGTGTCTCAGTGCAGTGTTCCGGTAGTTGGGGGAGATGTGCAGGGATTTCAGGACCCACTCTGCCCTCAGCACCCACAGTTGCTGTCCTGTGCCCGCAATGTGCTCACACTGTGGGTTTGCTCCCGATTCCAAAGCCGGGATCAAATTCAGTGTGTTGCATCAGCACGACCGCATTTGTGCACCCAGGCCTGACCACGCAGAGCACACAACTGTGTTTTAATTGGGTATTTTCGTCTGCCTCCTGCTCTGCAAGTCCCGTGGACTTCAACTGGACCAAAGCACAGGCTTCATTTTTTGCTGAACCAGCAGTGTGGTGTAGAAAAGGTCAGTGCTCCCAAGTTCAACATCACCCAAACCCTGCTGTGGTCTAACCTTGCTGGTTAGGGGGCTACAGCACAGATTGCGTGCTCTCTCTTAACTGTTGCTGTCCCCAGCAGTGCTGGAGCGTTCCCGACGGCAGCCCAGCTCAGGCTGAGTTGACACTAACACTTCCCCGTTTAAAATTATGAAACGTATAGCGTGTGAACCCAGCTGTCGGGTTGTTTAGATCTGAGTGGAGTGAGTGCCGAGAGAAGCTGGTTCCATCTGTTGTTAGTTTTCTGCCAATAAATTTACATTCTGCTTCTTAAAAATAAATAAATACATACAAAGAGCCAGGTTGCCGGTTTGGGTACATCCAGCTCCGTTTGCAGCCTGTTGTTAAGGAACAGGTGAAATATTTCTTGTTCTGGTAAACAATAATGCCACTAGAAATGATGACCTGGCTGATGATGGCTTTGATTCCCCCCCTACATCCCCCTTCCTTGCCATTATAAACCATGGTGTGATCCTACAAAGGCTGGGGCAAGGCTCTGCCCTGGAACAGCTTTAGCACTTGATATATAAACAAACATCCAGGCGGCACGGGTGATGGTGCCACATAAGATTATGCCCAGGAGAATATTTCCTGGCTGTGGTTTCTCTCGCTCTTCCTCCTGTAGCACTGCTTGGTCCGTAGCACTTCACGCGTTGTTGTGTATTTACCCCCGTGGCCGTGGGGCTGGGCGGTGAAATGCCCGGCCCGAGGGATGCAACAGCACAAAGAGTCGAGTCTGGGCTACTCGCATCCAAATCGTCGTGCCCTGGCCGCTGGGCCATCTCTGCTGGGGTGGCCCTTTAGACCTGGGAATTAAAGGGGCATCTGTTTTCCTTAAAGAGAATTCTCCCTCTCTGTGCCTTGCAGGCATTACCACAGCATGGAGGTTTTCACCCACTATGATCTACTGAACCTCAATGGAACCAAGGTGGCTGAAGGGCACAAAGCCAGCTTCTGTCTGGAAGACACCGAATGCGAAGCAGGTACATTTGCCAGAGCCCTTTGTGCTGGGAGTTTATTGCTGTCCCCGTCAGGTGACTGGCTTCAAAGATGCTGTCAAAGTCCTGAGCGGGGCTAGAATGTGGCCTGACAGGAGCCAGAAACCTGTCCCGAGGTTACATACCTATGGAGTCGTCTCTACAGGTATCCCCAAAGTCCCCATATGCTGAGGTTTTCAGACCTCAGCTCCTTACATCCTTACTCTGAGCTGGCCTGAAGACCTAAGTGTATTTTTTGATTCCTGTAAAGTGAGAAATTCCAAAATGTGCCTCTAGGAGATGAGGTACGGAAGGCAGCAGCTTGTCCCGTGCAGTTAAGCAGTACGTGTATTTCAATGCAAGGCACTGAGCAAGACGCTGTTGTATTAAATCTCATCCAAAATACCGTGCCCATAGCTTATCGCTATCTACGGGAATTGGAGAACAACTCGCCCTTCCTCTGTTGTGTCTGAGGGTGGGAAATTCCCAGCCTGACTTACTGCGAATCTAACACTTTGTGCCTTTAACTCCTCTCATTTAGATGTGCAAAAACAGTATGAATGTGCCAATTTTGGTGAACAAGGAATCACGGTTGGATGCTGGGACGTGTACCGTCACGACATCGACTGCCAGTGGATTGATATTACTGATGTCCCACCAGGCGATTACCTCTTCCAGGTATGGGAGAAAAAGAGGGTTTGAGACACTGCCATTGCTTTTATCCTATCCATTAGGGATGTCAGGAATGTAACTACTAGTTTATTTGTACATCTCCTACAGTACTAGAAACTTCCGATTACAAAGAGATTATCTTTTAGGTATCCTGGGAATATAAAGAATTACCTAACAGGACAACAAACTGTTACCAGATCCCATACTTCCCCAAGTGAAAAATCAGGGCAAATAACCACAGCTTAGAGATGACAGTCTTAAGAAATCCATGTCCAGCTCGTACTTGATAGCCCTACGTGATCCACGTGCAGCTGACGTTAACACACTGCATTACCTGCCTGGCTGAAAAGGACCTGGGGGTGTTGGTGGACAGCGGCTGAACATGAGCCAGCAGTGTGCCCAGGTGGCCAAGAAGGCCAACAGCATCCTGGCTTGTGTCAGGAATAGTGTGGCCAGCAGGAGCAGGGAGGTGATTGTGCCCCTGTGCTCGGCACTGGTGGGGCCGCACCTGGAATGCTGTGTCCAGTTTTGGGCCCCTCAGCACAAGGAGGACATTGGGGTGCTGGAGCGTGTCCAGAGAAGGGCAACGGAGCTGGGGAAGGGTCTGGAGCACAGGGCTGGTGGGGAGCGGCTGGGGGAGCTGGGGGTGTTCAGCCTGGAGAAGAGGAGGCTGAGGGGAGACCTGATCGCTCCCTACAACTACCTGACAGGAGGGGGCAGGGAGGGGGTGTTGGGCTCTTCTCCCATGTAGTTAGCGATAGGACGAGAGGAAATGGCCTCAAGTTGCACCAGGGGAGGTTTAGATTGGATATTAGGAAAAACTTCTTCACGGAAAGGGTAGTGAAGCACTGGAACAGGCTGCCCAGAGAGGTGGTGGAGTCCCCATCCCTGGAGGGGTTCAAAAAATGGGCAGAGGTGGCACTTTGGGACATGGTTTAGTCTAGTCTACCCTTGATTGGTTTAGTGTGGACTTGTAGTGTAGGTTAATGGTTGGACTGGATGATCTTAAAGGTCTTTTCCAACCTAAACGATTCTGTGATCCTATGATTCTACCTGTTGCGTTAGATAGATATACACACAGCATCCCACTGTTGTCTTGTACTAAGCTTTTGGGCCGGTTGTAAGCAACGCTTGCTTCGCTCGGGGATTAAATGGTGCTACTCTTGTGGGTGTTTGCATGAGGAGTTAAGACTGTGCCCACAGTTTGTTTTGTGCAAGTGGGTGGAGTGGGGGGAATTCTTGGTTCTAAAAACAGCCACTTAAACTGGAGAGGAGTGAAGGGAAGAGCAGTTTTTTTTGTCTGTGCTGCTACCGTGTGAAATGTAGAGAAGGTGTTTGAGGGTATATCTTGGTGCATGGGGGAAGGTGTGATCTTGATCTGGCTTTAATCAAGTAGTTTCTGTCTCCTTGCAAAACGAGTTAGGTTTTTTCTGTTAAAAAAAGTATTATGGTGTAATGAAAAAGCTGATTCTGTCTCAGTCTGACTCATGTCATATCCAGTCCACCTTTAAATAACTTCATGCTGTGTTTCTCCATCACTCCCTAGGTTGTCATCAACCCAAACTATGAAGTTGCTGAATCTGATTATTCAAATAACGTGATGAAATGCAGGAGCCGGTATGACGGGCAGCGCATCTGGATGTACAACTGCCACATAGGTGAGAGCAACTTCTGCAGGGGAAAGCTAATGACTGCATCGCGGACTCTTCACTAGGAACGCTCTCTGCTTTTGTTGCAATGTGCTTACATGCTGTTTATGGCTTTGTACGTGCTTGGAAAGATGAGATACCGAGCCCAAACTACACCGGTGCTATTTGCCATAGACTGTTCAAAGGCAGACGCCAAAGTGGCTGCTACAGGTTGCAGAGAGTAAGATGGCTGGCTGGGGTGGGACGGCTCCTTACTTAGGGCTGCGATGGACGTGTTACTGGAGCAGCAAGCACAACACCGCTGAAACGGCGCGCTCTGCAAGAAATCCCTCTAGGCTTGGTAGAACAGGGGTAACAGATGTTCCAGCTGTATCTCTTCTACAAGGAAATGAGCGTTTTTCCCTCCCAAGACTGTCAGACATCAGGAAAGTTCTCATGCAATCTGAGAACTTGTTTAGCATGCCTGAGTGGGTCCAGGCAAACAACTACAACTGCTTCCCAGATTCAAATTATTACCAACCTGGGACTGACCTCTTAGGACCCCAAAGCTTCTCTTTTCTTGAAAAGCAAACAGGAACAGTGATGTGCGAAGCAGAGCAGGGGAGAAGAGCCCTCTGCTTGAGCCAGAAATGAAAATGCTCTGTTGTCCCTTGAATGTGAGGGAAAACCATGTATTTTCTTGAACACATGTAAAATAGTACCATTTGGAATTTTTTTTGGTCTTGGAAATATCAAAGCCAAACTAGTTTAACTTTGCACTAATGGTCAATTGTCAAGACCATTTTAAAAAGGAATTAAGCTGGGGGCTTTTTAAGATAAACTGTTTTTAACACAGAAAATAAATTAACAGCAACTGCCTGCCAACCTCCACATAAAACCAGTGGTGAAGACAATTTCCAGAGCTAGCTGAAGTTCTTCAAGGAGTGTTTTTCCTGAGAAAATTCCATGTAACCACTGATTTTTCTCATTAATTTGTTGGGGTGGTTTTTGTTTGGTGTTTTTTTTTTCTTTTTAAAGAAAATACTTGTCTCATGTGTCACGCTTCAGCAATGCCAAACCCACTTCATTTGGATGAACAGGCACTTTAAGTGTTGGATGGGGTCTCCAGCTGAGCTTGAAAATATGTCTATTTAAAAAGAAATGTATTTAGCTTTCATTGTCTCTCAACTAGCAAAAAGTAAGGGCATGGTCCTACTTAAGATGGGTAAACAGAACCCACTTACCACCAGCCTCAAGGAGACCACGTCACAGGTCCCGCTAGCCGTCACCTAATTGTTTTAAGCAACAGTGGTTAGCAGTGGAATTGAGGGTAGTTTGTAGTCTGGTCTTCCAAGTACACAAAAAGCTAGACCCAGCACTCCCGGGGCCTCTTGGCTGTTCCAGTTACGGTAAGATTTAATTAATGCTTAAATTAATTAGCCCAGGAAGATCTTTGCTCTTCTAGTACTTGTTTTGAGCCCTTTGTTTTCACAGCATCTTTTGCCGATTACACAACAACCCAGGGCGTTCTCTGCCTTGGGTTGCACGCTGCCTTTGCTACCTCCTGCTCAACCCTGTGTTCTTTCTGTGAACTCCCCAGGTGGCTCCTTCAGTGAGGAAACAGAACAGAAGTTTGATCACTTCAGCGGACTCACAAATAACAAGGTGTCCACCCGATAGAACAGCATCGCCTCCCACCCCACTATTTAAAGAAGCGAGGCTTCCTGCTTCGGTAATTTCCCTAACCACTGCACAAAAAAGAAAATCAAGCAAACAATCAAACTCTAAATTAGCAAGGTAAATTATTTTCTAAAGATGCCTTCCTTCCCAGTTTAGGTGCTCAGACCACCATGTGTCTCTTGCAACTCCAATCCCTACTACTGAGTTAGGTAGGAGCAAGCTTTTAAGCTCTACTTGGCTCCGTATCTTCACTATTCCAACCGTCTGCACAAAGATTTCTCCCTCCACTTTGCAGCGCCATCTTTACTCACAGATGTAGGTCCAGGCTGCAGCAAGCACAATTTGCCTTTGTTTGGGTACCAACAACCTAAATATGTCTTTACCATTCATTTTCTTCAAGGCATTAATCTCGGTATCTTTAAGCTCTTTGACTCAAGCTTGAACGCACCATTGATGCAAATGCCTCCATTTGTGACGCTGCTTCTTGAACACAGCTAATCCTCAGCGCTGCCATGTCATTACTCCATTTTAGCAAAGAAATACAGGAAAGGGAAAAAAAAAAAATTGGAGCAGCTTTTTCTGAGCAGAATGGTATAAAGCATAATTTAATACTGCAGTGAAACTCTTGTATTCAACAATCAACTCCCAACACAATCTCTTTAAACGGAGCAGCTAATGCGGAACTGTTTTCTACAAGTGCATCAGGGCTCCATGAAGCTACACCTCCCTTGTAACATCTAGAAGACTTTGCAGATCTCCCGATGATGAGTCCACTGGACTGTGAATTTCCATTACACAGTAAGCTATTCACCCAATAGATTCTACGTACATCTAAATATTACCTTCTAAGCTGGATATTCACTCTGTCTTTTCTTTAAAGCATGAATTTAGTTAAGGCATTGTCATCACTGTACCTTACAGAGGTAACTTCATGGCTTTCATCAGCAGGGACCTGGACCTGTGCTGTCACAGACCCACCTGTGTAAGTTGTCTTTAAAAGCATTTTTTACACTTGGTAAATTCATAATGGTGCTACGTGTGTTCCTCTGTTTGTTTGAGGACACACATTGCTATGCATTTTCAGATACAACTACTTGAATAAAAATGTTTTGCCCAGAAAAACGTTTTATATGCCATTTGTGTATTTCTACTCCATGAAAGTTTAGGGCCTTGTTCACAATTCCTGGTACTGAAGGTGGGTTTTTTTTCTCCCTCTCTGTTTGTATGGAAGACTTCTACAAGCAGCTGAAGTTAACTGAAGGCTTACAGCTGCCCGTTCCAGTCTGCAGAGGGATTGGAAGCGGCTGCACCTAGCTGTGCTCTCCATAACCTACCTCACAGGGATGTTGTGAGGCTTAAAGAACACAGAAGTCTTTTGCTAATGCCTGTCAGAGTATTTGTCATTTATCCAGTGGCCCAGATGGTGGCATCTAGCAAAGGTTTTTAGCCTACTGTAAGCTGGAAAACTCCATTCTGTTCTCAAGATGCCGGACTGTGTAGCAAAAGCGGACTCCGAGATGTGTTGGTGGATGCTCCATTGCTGCTGCCACAAGAAGGTGCCTTGCAGCACCTCGTAACACCAGGCTCTGGGCAAAGCAGAACTGGCAAGTTCTGGTTTTCTTTTCCTAATCTGTGGATGACACCTTTCCTTGCTGACAGCACAACAAAGTCAGTCAGGCTCTTTAAACACTGTAAATAAGGAAAAACCCCGAAACTCACTTGCATTCAATGCTTGTCAGTTTTGTGGGATATTTTAACAATAACATTACAACAAAGTAAACATTAAACAGAATTTTTGACTCCTGCAGATGCTCTGCTCTTGCTTACAGCTGAATTTTGGCCAACAAGATACAATTCCCTTACTTTAATGCTTTTTTTTTTTTTCCCCAATTATAGAGCAGGCTTATCTGTAAGCAGCCTTACTTTCTGCAAGTGCCCCAGTGAGTAAGAGATGCTTTGAAACAGAGTGGGGCAAGAGGCTCTCCATAATGAAGAGTAACAGCAACCCTCACGGGGCTTGGCTCTTGAGCTCAAGATCTCATTAATAGGAAACTTTTTCCCTTCCCAACTTTAGAAAGAAAAGACGGTGCTAATCCATAAGAGAACATCCCTGTGGCAACTCACTGTTCTGCATGCGGTTTAATATCACAGCCATGCTCATCTATACATTTTTTTTTTTTAGCTGAGGTGGTTTATTCCTCCTGGTCCAAGCTTTCCGGCAGGAGCACTTCGGTGCCCGGGACGCCCTGCTGCTTGTGCTTCAAACCCAAAGCCCGGGTCACCAGCCTCTTCGCCACTGCAGTGTCAGTCTGGGGTCTTTCTTTTGCAAGGTGAAGGAGCTCTAGGTAAAAATGGGTGAAAAAATCATTAAGTTAGTGCTTGTTCAGGAACAGTCTTGTGGCTAAACCATAGGACTGGCAGACAGAAAGGCTGATTTCTATTTTCTCCGTTCCTTTACAGAATCAGCCCAGGAGCATGAACAAATCGTTCTATCCCTATCCAGTAAATTGCCTGTTCTTTTAGAAAGATGTGCCTCCAGATTTGTACTTAGCTTTTGAACTGTCATTGAAAAATCTTATTTGGCTAGGATTAAGCTCCAGGCCTCCTCTGCAGTGCTAGAGAGAACCGTTCCGCATTTGCTTTCAGAAACAGCTGCGTAACCTTTCCTGGCAAAATTCAGCAAGTCCCATCTCTGAGAACAAAATGAAGGCACGCAGTCCAACCAATTTATCCATGCACAGGAAAGTTTAATCTCAATTTAGACTATTCAAAACCAGCAGTCTAAATCCTTAGAAAGTAGCAAGGGAAAAAAAAAATCTGCTTTTTTTTAAATAGCTAAATACATCAGACACTTTGGGAAACCCCTTTGGCCAGTAACCTCCATTTTCTGGTAGACACCTGGCTTGCTACTATTCCATCTGACAAGAAATGAGTATGCAAAAACTTTACCAAGTCCACACTAGTCTGGATTTGGCAATGACCTAATCATTTATCAGCAACTGTTTGCAAATTTATTATCCAGTTAGCAACGGGGGCTTTGCTTGCTTTTTCAGAAGTTTATTAATAAAGGCAGCCCATCAGCAGCTTAAAGAAAAAGGGGCAGACTCAAAGCATC